CAGAAATGGTTCGAAAAATTAAGAAGCGACTTGATCGAAACCCGCGTCGCAGAGGCCGAAAAATTACTCGTGAGCGCAACATATCGCAAAATTCCATTCGGCAAATATTGAAAAATGACCTCGGGATAAAGCCATTGAAATTCCAAGAAGTGCAAGAACTTACACCGCAAACAGAAAGAAAATAGACTCAAAAAGCTAAAGAGTTGCTTTGCTTGGCCGAAAGTGGTGAACTGCCGAATTTGGTTTTCTCCGATGAAAAAACATTTGTTGTCCAACAGTTTGTAAACAAACAAAATGATCGTGTTTACTTGCCAAAGAGGTCAGCTGAAAATGTGCACCTTCGGTTGGCCACCAGAATTCAAGCGCCAGCCGTGGTGATGGTGTGGGCCACCATTACAGCCGATGTTCGCTCTCCGCTCGTATTAATCGACCGTGGCATCAGAATAAATGCCTAATATTATCGCGAATGTTTTCTGAAGGGTGTATTAAAGCATTGGGCACGCAAAGGACTCAATACCATCGCACTCAGCACACGCCACCCAAGAATGGTTACAAAATGAGGTTCCTCACTTCATTTCCAGCACACAATAGCCACCAAAATCTCCGGGTACCAATCCGTTGGACTATTGTGTCTGGAGTATTTTGAAAAGCAAGGTTGGCACTAAAAAATACCAAAGTGTCGATCACCTCAAGCAAGCGCTTCGCCAGGAATGGGCCAAAATACCGCAGAGCAACATTCGGGCAGCGTGTGACGATTTCATTGTCCGTTTGAAGGCCATAATTCGTGCCAAAGGTAACCAATTCGAACAAATCTAAACTTATTCTAAAAGTTGACGCTATTTCCGACATTTTTTGCTTTCATTTAATAAAATTTAAAAAAAAAAAAAATCATGGCGTTTAACATTGTTGCAGTTTTTTTATCTCACCCTGTATATATAAATTCTTGATCAGCATAAAATGCTACGTCGAATTAAGGGTGACTGTCCGTCTGTTCGTCTTTGGAAATCACTCTGGCTTCCGAATGAATTGAAGTAGGTTGAATTGAAATTTTATATAGGTCTACGTATATACATAAAAGGTACTACAGCCTATGACAGAGAATTGTCTATGCAGATTCAGGTCTTCGTATAGCCCCTAAATATCGGTACCTCCCTATATTCGGTATTTTGATGATTTTAGCTACATTATTCACCGGAATTGTTTCATATTTCGTATTTGAACTTTGTAACGGGTACTACATAATGTAACAGAAAATTGCCTTTGCAGGTCAACGACTTCGTATAGACCCCAAAATAATGGTAACTACTTATATTTGGTATTTTTAAGATTTTAACAGATTTTTTATCGGATTATGTGTTTTATTTATTTATTAATTATCTATTATTATTATTATTATTTATTTAGTTATTATTATTATTATTATTATTATTATTATTATTATTATTATTATTATTATTATTATTATTATTATTATTATTATTATTATTATTATTATTATTATTATTATTATTATTATTATTATTATTATTATTATTATTATTATTATTATTATTTTATTTTATTTTTTTTATATTTTTTTTTTTTTTTTTTTTTTTTTTGAAATTCGCTCCAATTGGTGTAGGTTATTCAAAATCCGGACCGGCCGGAAAATTAAATCGATTATGTAAGAAGACTTTCTTCCCCTAAACCTAATATACCTAATTATTGTAAAACATTGTCAACAATTTTTATTTCTGTAAAATTTTATTTGTTCATAGTTAACTAAAGTCTTTTGTCGTTTTTGTTTAATTTATGACCATTTTGTCAAATTGTATGGCAATATACCTTGTTTTTTATAATTTTCTTATTTGTACCAATTATAGAAGTTAAACACAAATTATAGATCCAATTAATTTGTTAAATTTTATTACAAATGTATTTGTGTTAACAGCAGCAATTTACCACGAAACACTAATTTTGAATTGTAAATGTTTCTCCTCAAATAATTCATGTGGTTGGTTATTAACAACAACGTATGCAACTGGGGATATTATTTCAATAAGTACCATTATTTTACCAATGGAAAATAGTATCATACATTTATTATGGTATCCAATAGAGTTTTCAAGAAAGGGGTGAATTCAATATGCACATACAGGTACTGGTATAAGATTTCTAGTAAACATAATAATTAATCTCGAGGGAAGAAATGGGGTATGAATATTCAAAAGAATTTTTAGTTTTCCATAATAATCATAATAATAATTTAAAATAAATTTACCGTTACAATGCTAAAAGATAAATGAATGGTAATGCCTTTTTGATAACATTCAAACATTCTCATTATCCAACAGCATGTCAAATATTATTGCAACAATAAAGACTTATATATATTTATTGCAAAAATAAACATTTATTTCTTTCTTATTTTTTAATGAAATGTTAATTTTGTATTCGTTTTCTAACTTTTTCTTTGCAGCATGCAATGCATGAACATCCCTTTAATTTTTGCTATCGATACCATGCGATTGGATGACTATCGATTTTTATTTAACATGTCGACCATTTTCGATTAAACCGGTTCATTGACAGTAGGGATATGTAGTTGAAACAAAATGTTTAAATTTCATGATTTTGCAGCAACTAGAAATATTCGTCAGAGACCCCAAAAATTGGAGTTAGTATATAATCTCCTTGCTCGATTCAGGTTCAATAATTGGTATAACCCCCATATCATGGTAGAAGAATACAGGTAATTGCATCGACACCGCTGCTGGGATAATGAACTGTTAAACCAATTTTAAAATTGAAGATTTCAAATGAAAAATTATTGAAATTTAAAAAAAATTGTTTGAAATTTATACCATAAAAACCTACTAATAGTGTCGTATAAGAAAATTTATAAAAATCTATTTATTAAAAAAAAAAAAAACATTTCAATGATTTTGATATATCAATGTTCGCAAGCGTTGATGCATCTACCTATATTCTTCTACCATGCCGTATATAACGTTATCTCCCAATTTTTGGCATTTTCAATGTTTCTGCCATAATTTCCAATCAGATTGGTTGTTAGTAAGTTAGTTCTCTCCTTGCAAAATATGTTTGATTCAGGTCCACAATTTGGAATAGCACTCTGAAGGTTCCTGTCAAAATTTCCGACAAAATTAGCAAACATTTGACAATTGGGCTTGTCTGTAGGCCAGTTCTTTCCTTTGAAAAAATGTTTGATTCAGGTCCACTAATTCGTATATTAATTATAAATAGTAAATATAATCAGGAGAACACATAAAAACCTTTTTAAAGACTAAAATTGTAAAAAAATGTGTAAAGACGTGGTATAATTAACAAGGTAAAGTTTATGACATCATATGTTTACAGATTTTAACCTGAAATGTGTATATACAATGTATTCGTAAATAAACAATTTGATAATAAAATGTCAAACATATAATTTTTGTATAAAGTGCAAAAATATAATTGCATTATATAACATTCTTGTTTATACCATGCTTTAAAATGTTTCACTGTTAAAATGTACATTCATGGATCTCTAAACACAAATCTGTTCCAGCGAAGATAAATAATGGTTCTCTTCCAGAACAGCAAGAATGTAAAAATTTTCGCTAGGATAACGGATTTTTTCTTTATAATACCGAAAAAATAGCAAAAGGAGTAGATTCTACCAGGTTATGGAATGAGGTTATCTCGAATAGATGGTTTCTTGGTACATGATCTTTTTCCAGTTCATTTTGCCATTTTCTTCGATATTATAAAGGGAAAATTGGATATCGTAGTAAAAACCTTTACATTCTTGCAGTTCTGGAACAAACCAATAGATTACCATTTTATGAAGATTCGTTATTTATTTGCTTTATACCGTTATTTATTTGCTTTAAGTGTTTAATGAAGATTCGTTTTTTATTTAAGGTATAGGGAATAAGCCATATAAATAATGCGATTTATGAACATTTATTCAGTGTAAATAAAGAATTGCCAAATTAATTGAGAATCCAAATATCGCATTTAATTTCTCACAACTTTCTCAAACCTATAACTTCAACCTTGCCTTTTTTTAATAATTTTTTTATTATAATGCACTTTACAGTTTTTGTCTTACTACCTTACTAAAATTCGACAAAAATTGCTCTGTTTCAAAACATGCAAAAATCTACCATTTTTTGAAAAAATTTTCGATATCATAGAGTGGAAATCGGTTATCATAGTAAATATTTTGACATTCTTCAGTTCTGAAACAGACTAAATGTAGACTTGTTGGTCGGCACACGTTAGGAAATTAATGGCTGCTATTTTTTAATTATTGAATTTCATGGTAAACATATTGTTACCATAAAACACATTGTCCATTAACGATCTAACTCTTCCTAAACTTTCCTCTGTAACTTTTAATGTATCGATAACATGCCATTATAAACATCGATTTTTCACATCGATAATTTTTTGCATGAATTTGGCTATTTTTGACGCTGATATCGAAATATTCTCATCAAAAGGAATTTCAAGCAAGAAGGAGCAGAAAAATTTTAACGCGTTCTGTGAAAAGCGTAAAAAACACAAATAATCTTGCAGAAAAATTGCTAAAATAAAGAGAATTCCGTTGCAAAACTAATTTGGAATAGTGAGTGTTAAAATTCATTGTAAAATATCGAGAAAAAGCAATTAGAAAAATGTGAAAAAATACATGCAAAGAAAAGAATGCAATAAGAAAAATTGGGATTAGAGAACGAAGTCCGTCGGAAATAACATAACGCCGCTAATCTGCTTTTTGCTGTGTTCTCGCAAAAATAGAGGAGACATTCTTGTTGTCTCGTGAATAATAAAGAAAAAACCAAATAGTTTCAATTAAAAATAACACAAAAACTAATGGATTTGGATTAGACAAAACACAGGATTATAAGAGTGTGTGTTGGTGTTTGTGTGTTTTGCTTAATATATTTTTTTGTTTGCCGCCCAGCGCTGCAGTTCTTTTTTTGCAATAGAAGAAAAAACAGATATGAGATTAATGAGTATGGGAGAGACAGTTCATTGTCGTCGATGGCATGAAGAAGAAGAATCAGTGGCAGCCGCAGCAGCATTACCAGAACAGTAAACGAAAGGAAAATGACAAATACGGAAAACTGAAAGAAATGACGAAAATAGCAAACACAAAAGAAAAATCCAAAAAAGATTGACAAGAAAATCAAAGAAAAAAGAATTTGGAAAAATTTGTTTTTCTTTATGTGTGTGATTCTTATATATTTTTAAGTGTTTACCGGAAGAAAGTAAAGGAAAGGCGTAAAGCTGCAGGCTTTTTAGCTGACTATACAAAGCTAACCGATGGGGGAAAGGGGCAAAATTGTGTGTATTTTTTCAAATGCAATTAGACGAAAAAAAGAAGAATTAACATAAAAATTAGAATTTGAAACCAGACACCTCTTCAAAAATATGAACTTGTGCGAATGCCTTGTACCCTTCCCCGCCTCAAAAAGGGAATCGTATCGTATACACAAATAACACATTAGATAGAAAACAAGAGGATGTGTGTTAAAAATGAAGTGAGAGTAAACGACGAAGACAATGCCATAGCGGGTGGGCCCAGTCTACAATTAAAATATTGTTCTATTTTTAATGTTATGATGATAGCCGTAATTATGCGTTCCATAACCTGTGATTTAACCACGACGAATGGAAAACATGCATAAGTGAAAGGGCGAATAAACCCCTTTGAAAGGCGCACCACCAAATTGTGCAAAGAGAAGGGAACTTATTTTAATACTTACAATTTTTACGTCCATTCAATTGTAGCACTTATGTCACCAAGAAATGTAAATTATTATCGACTTGAAGATACCGTTGAGGTTTTTATAAGTTCATAAGAAATTAATTGAAGTCTGTGTTTATATTTTGCAGGTTCATAGACTTGGGATGAACCAAGCAGGACTCCGTAAGGTAAAAATTTGAAATTTTACCATAGGGGCTAGTGACATAGTACCTTTGTCTTCATATTATAGATGCTAATGGGTAAACCCCTGTTTCCAGCATTAGGGATTTCCACGTACGGATAAATTCTACTCTCCAAAAGCGTTTGATTGAAATGTAGGACAATTGGTAGGCGATGTATTTCCATATATTCTATAGAGATCGGGATCAAAAGTACTACCTGTTGCGAACATTTATCTCAGATTATATCTATGACAAATGAGCGGTATCTTCATGCGAGTAATGAATTAAAAGACATGTGTATAATATCCTCAAATACGAAATAATCCGCGGGGGAGGAATGTTATTTTACTTGTTGACAAATGTTCTTCGACATAATAGAAAAAAACTGTAAGCTTAGATACCAATCGTAGATTAACAATTATTGCCCCCCAAAAAATACGGCGAGAAATTTATATAGACTGATGAAAGAGATTTCTAGATATACAAACATCAAACCCCAAATCAATAGCCATCAAGTGATATATCAGAGAAGCAGTCTTAGTGAAGGCAAAGATTAGTGGTATTTTCACAACGAAGATCAGATGGTACGGTCCGTAATTGGCTCAGAATTTGTAACACAATACCAAAAATATATCTTGTATTAGAACTAGAGCAAGATGCTGTATCCCTTCATCGGCCAACAGTTCTTATCTGAATGTGCCACTTAATGAACATGGACAAAATATTTATTCTGTACTGTACAAAGTTAAACTCCTTGACTCCTTGAAACATATGTCTTGGATGAACTTGAAATCCCGGATTGTTTTATATTAGGATCTGAAATTTCAAGTCTTTATCATATTACATCTAGTTGTCTATAGGATTTGGAACGTTAGGGTAGGGAGTACTGTTTTTATTAAAAACTTCCATTCCATTATATTGAAGAACCGAAACAAATTCCACCATACTTGAATCGTAACTCCTTTATCTTAGATATTCCCAATTAAAAACATATAAATAAGACTTATTTGTTAATTGAAAAAAAAAAATTTCTCCTTTTAGTTGCATTACATTTAAATCTACACCACCTGCAGCGAAAAACTCCGTCAAACCAGAAAAGGGATAACGCAGAAAAGAAGTAACAACAACTGAACAAAGTTAAAAGAAACCCCCATCCGCAAACAAACAAAACATTTTTCTACGAAAGACGACAAAAAAGCGGCAAAACACCGAACAGATACAAGACTGAAACAATCCAAGAACAAAAATCAAATTCTTCAATTCCCCCACTACACCAAAATAAAAAAAAGAAGTCCTTAAACGATTAACAAATTGCCTACACCTCGATAATATTAAATATCACACGTCGTAAATCGAACAAGGATTTTTGCGCTAATTTGGGGAAACCCCAAAAAAGTCAGCTTTTCGCCTGTATCCGCCAGCGATCATCAGCATTTTCTCGCCGTTATATTCACCGCTGTTCAATTGCTCTCTCATAAGAAGTTCATCATTATCAACCTTCTCTACCTCTTTCCGCAACTTCTACTGATTTTCTAACGTGAAAAAAACGAAGCCCAGTATTCTGCAGTAGTACATCATCAATCATCGCAGCGAACAAATACCGGCGGTAGCATCATACATTTAGCGTATAATTTATATTTTCCTCCCGCTTATTGTGTGTGTTCGTTGAACATCAACTACTGTCATCATCACCTCCAGCGGCGGCGACATCACCATGGATGATTTAGTAGTCGAAGTTCGGCTCGAGAATGGTGCCTATTATAAGGTAAGTTCTAGATTAAAGAGAAAGTATGCAGTTATGTATGTTATTGTATTATTACATATTTTATTTTAGGTATAAAAATATTTTAATTATTTTTCGATTTTTATTATTGTTTTCTCTCATTTCTGGGGTGTTGTTTATTTGTGTGTAGTTTTATGGCTTAGCTAGCTTGTGACTGACGTAGACACTCGCTCTTTTATTATTAAAAAAAGCAGTGGCGTGGTTGTGACAAGGAACATGAAGATATAGCAGAACAGTTTTTAGTGAAAGAACATATTTTGGGCAATGCTCGAATGCGTTTAAATAAAGGCTTGGAATCTTATCATTAGAACTTTAGGACCTGTCGGATTTATTCAGTTCTTGGCAATTAATGTTTAATTATCCAAGCCGAGGTGATACCGTGTGTATCGTTTCCAATGATAACCAGTTGCACAGATTGCGAATGTTGGAATCTGTCAAATTATTGGGTCAAAGCCCAATAAATGGTTTAAATATTTAAAAATATGTTACAAAGCGGTTTTCTTACAGCCTTGATTGGCTTGCTTGTCCGATCATTTCCTTCTTTCCGCCAATTTCAAAACTGTAATCGTCGATCTCCAGATGTGAGTCGCATAGTGGACGTTACTCTATAGCTTGTGGTGTGGTTATCAAATACATAGGCACTTTCTTATATAATTTATTTTTATATGATTAAATTGTCGACATTAGGCTTTTCTACCGCAACCTTCGTTTTATTCTTGATGTAATAGATTAAATGACTTTTACACCACTTATCCCACTTCCTCCGATTGATAGAGAAACACTACTGCGGGATAAAACCTACAAAAATAGCTAAATGAACAGTTTCCCATGATTTTCAAGTATTGCGGCGATGACCTGCCAAGCCGAAGAGGAGACTGAAACGGTAGAACATTTGATCTGTCATTGTCCAATCCCTACGATATGAGACTTAGGTGTATGGAAAAAATTAACCCGGATCAGTTCCCATTCTCCGATACAGGATCAAAAGTTATTTATCAACTGGCCATAAGTGGACTGACTAAAAATGACACGATAATTATATGGAATCGTGGATTACAATCAGTTCTTCTTAATTTTCAATCAAATTCTCAATTACGGATGAACACAATGGTACTGATCTATTTAGTGTTCTTTAAGCTAGCCTTCGTACCATGTTGTTCATCTACTCATGTCGTTGTTATGACAGGTATACAAGGATTGCATTAACCGATGCCCACAATGTATTTCTATCTTCTGCAGTGATCCTAATAGCCCTGTTGACCTCGAATGTCATTTCTCTTGATTAGTGTGTCTTGGATTTTTGGAATTAAAAATGAGGGTATTGTAAGTTGGATTCTGCCAAAAATTTTATAACTTCTGGAAATATTGGTCCCATATCCCTATCTCCCAAGCTGAATCGTTTAGGCTATGTGTGTCCGTCAATCACTCTATAGGTAGCAATTTTGGTCCGACCCTCACTAAATTTTGAATGGCAGAATCCTACTTTTGTGAATGGTTATGGTATAATATTTAGCAGTTGAAATATACCGTAAAAATACCCCACACCACATAGTGGTAAGGGTATTATGTCTTTGTGCATTTGTTTGTAACATGGAGAAGGAAGCGAGTTAGGTCCATAGTTACTTTTGAGGATATTCATAAAATCACTTACTGAGTCGATTTATGCTTGTCCGTCCGTTCATGTATTCTTCTGAACAAATTGCAGGTCGCATTTATTATCCGAGAGATGAGATAATTTTTGCAGACAATATTTGTTTGGCCGTAGGACGAACCCTACGGATCAAATTTACATATGGATCACATATATCTTCAAACAATTTCGGGTTAATTGTGCACCAAATGACCTGAATTTTGGCACATCCGACCGAATTCAGTTTAGAGGGAAGTACATCAAAATTGGTGAAAATTGTCTCAGATATAGCTATAGCTATTTGTTTCATCCGATTTGGTGTTTAAGTCCCTCACATTTATTATATGCACTCGACAGCAATGATATTTGGATCCCGATATCTTATAAAGCTCGGAAATACATCTGCCAAATTTTATCAATATCGGTTCAGATTTCGATTTAACTCCCATATACATCTTCAACCGATTTCGGGTTAATTCTACACCAAATGATCCTGGGTTGTGGTGCATCCGACCGAATGTAGTCTACAAGCAAGTACTTCAAATTTGGAGAAAATCGGTTCAGTTATAGCTGTAGCTCCCATATATATGTTTCATCCGATTTGGTGTCTTAGTCCCTAACATTTGTAATATGCAACAACAATAATATTTTGTACCAGATATCTTATAAAGCTCGAAAATACCTTTGCCAAATTTTATTGAGAACGGTTAAGATTTGGATATAGCTCCCACATATAACCTTAATCCGATTACAGGTTTATTGTGCAAATAATGGCTAATATAAGTCCAAATGGAGTGAATTTCGGGACGTACATTTCCATTTTGTGGAACATAATCCTTTTCGAAGTGATATAATGCACTCCATAGCAATTTTTAAAGTGACTTTCAAACAAAATCTATAGTTAAGAAAATAAGCAAATCCAAACAATACTTTCTTTTTGAATTCATAGACTTATATAGTCTGAAATCGTATATATAACAAAATATACACATGATTCTAGATTTTTAATGTTTCCATTAGCGCGACAAAGTGCTTAAATATAAGGAAATTTCCACGGCATTTGACAGTGACTTGTGGCTTGGTGCATGTACGAACCGAGCAATGTAATAATAAATTAACCATAAAACAGAAACTCATTACATTATTTCTTAACTCTTAAAAACCAAACCTGATATTTAGTGCAATATTGTACATAATTTTTTAACCCTACCCAAATTCTTGAACCCCCATTTATAAATTGTGGGTGCAACACCTTTGGTACTGCTGGTTTATGTCATCATCATCACCAACGTCGTCGTCGACGTCGTTGGCTTCGTCGTTTTTAGAATACTTGGTGGCTCTACTCATTATTTGATATCGCTCTACTCTGCCGCTGTGTCGTATAAGCGCCGTGAACTTTTTAGTATTGTATTTTGTTTGTAAATTTTTGTTTTTTCCTTTCAGCTGTTTTATTTCATGTTCTGTTTTTGTTATATACTTTTCTTTTTTACCACTTTTTTTCTTGCAAATTCTCTTTTGGGTCTGTTTTTTTTTGCATTCTATGTTCATTGGAGCTTTTTTTAGCCATTTGTGGTTTTTGTTGTTTAGCATTGTTTACATGTTGTATTGTTGTCTATTAGCTGCTGACTGATGATGCTATAGTCGCCACCGCTTCTGCTGCTGGTGTGTTATGTTTTGTGCTGTTGGTCGGTGGGTCGGACTAGCTGGCGCGCGCATTCTTTCTCTACGAGGGCTTGTTCGTCTGCCGCTGCTGTTGCTGATGCCTTTTTAGATGAAAACTAATTTACATTTTTTCGTCGACTCTTCTCTGTTGTTGTTGCTGCTGTTATTTTTTGTGGGCTTTGGCTTAAGTTTGCTGTAGGTTTTGTTTATTTTTATTTGTGAATATTTTTCGTCGGTATATCTTCATTGTATTTTTTTGCATTGATTTTCCCTTTCAATGTAGAATCCGACGGATGACGATTGTAAAACCGACATACAGAAACAAAATATGCAATAATTAAAAAAATGTTAGGTATTTTTAAGTACCTACATTTAAGAGGGTGTTGGCGGTAAGAATAGGGGAATTCCATTCAATAATTTGGGATTTGAATGTTATAGGAATTTTGCTTGAATGCTATTTTCGAGTGGCAGTCGTCTCATAAACAAAAACACACAACAAAAAATGTTTAGAAATTAAAGAAATCTTCGCATTTTGTTGCTAATATATTTTATTATAAATATTCTAATTTTGAGATAGGTATAATTACATTATTTATAATAAAACGTTATATTTCATAAACATCACACACTCTGAGACGTTTTTCCTCACATCTTCATCAGTTCGTGCCCAATACGAGTTGAGACGGCTTTACCATCCCTAACGTAGTAGAACCTAAACTAACTTAGCTTGTCTAAGCTGCTGACGTTCTTCACCTGCAATATTTGTGAACTCTTAGGGTGGCATTTATACTGTAATTGTTGACTCCATCGACGACTGAAACATTATAACTCATATTCAGATCTGTCTGATGGGCTGCTTGATCTGAAAGTTTCTTCTTATATCGTTGGACCTCCCTCCCTGGATCTTGAAGGAATTTTCTGACACGCCTGAGTGGGGATTTTTATGCACCTTATAGTGGCTAAGATGACTCAAATGGTAACACCCTACCAAGTACTGCAACGAAAGCATATAATTATGCTAAGGATGGAACCTTCGCCTCATATAAATGGTACTTCTAGATGAGGAGGCAACCTGTTGCAATTCTCAGGGCCGCACCATGGTGGGTCTATTGCATTGCGCTAGTGTTTGCAGACCACGTTGTATAACAATGATCGATCTATTGCTTTTTAAGAGGATGATTAGATCTACCGACGTCTAGATGATTTTTTACTTTTCAATTTATCGCAGAAAGCTGTGGTTTGCGGGGAGTACTTAAACATTCTGTGGCCGTTATTTCGTGCGGATATTTTCATATTCCTCGCATAGAAGAAGGCAGCAAGCTCCGTGTTCAACTTAACACAAATGTCGTCGACGACAGTATCTGCCGCTATGATCGTGGAGTTATCCGCAGAGGTAACGAGGTCCCAATGCCGTCAGGAGGGCGGGTATTTCCGGAAAGGTGGGGGTTAAACAATTTCGGATATGTCATGTAAAGCTGTTGTATTACTGACGGAAATCATGCAGATTATCCGCAACTGGAAAGCTTCTTCTGGTTTTAGGTAGGGAGACTTTACCTCAAGAGTTTTAGCTACTGCAGACAAAAGTAAAGTCAACAGGGGGACCACGTGGTCCAGTTTCGGGAGAAATATTGGTGGCTAACGACAGGTTCGGACTTTAGTGAGATACTCGACTTCCGGCATATCCGAATATTTCAACATTACCATGTTTCGTCTGGATCCAATGTTTCGAATGACTTAGAATTTGGAATGACATTTACAATAAAACCTAGAGGCGATTTACAATAGAAGCTGGAGGGGATCTTATACATCGTAGTAATCTTCGCTTCGCCATGTCAATCTCATTGTGCTCGACCAAGTGGCCAGCGCACCTTTTCGGATTAGTCACTGTTACGTCGTAAAAAGTGATTGAGGTCCTATCATCTTTTTACACAGAATTCGAGAGTTATTTAAGCCACAGTTTTTTTCTTATTCGTTTCAATGTTACATAATTTTAGTTGGTCTAGCCACTTTATCCTTTTGTGCTTCTGTACAAAATCAGTAAGATTGTGTCTGTATGTTTCTGCTAGCGAATATTGGGACAATAAATCAGGTGTAATTGCTTTAATCTTATGAAAATTCATCCTGGAACTCAAATATTGTTCCTTATTTCCAATTTTAGCTTGCGAAAATATTATTGGCTAGTTTCGACTTTTTTTTGGTAGTTATACATTTGCTGTTAACAAATTTCAATTCTGTTATTAGTTATTGCTCGGGGAAAACACAGTCGCCTCAATGTTCATGAGGTATCCTTTTATCGGAAGTGCATTGTTTCAATTTTTGAGAGTCGTCGTTGGAAGCTTTATAAAAAAATTAAAGGCATTTTCAAAAAGATATGTCATTTTGGTATTCCAAAATAATAATTTTTTGGCATAAATGACCGGATGTCTATTTCATAGTAAAGAGGAATTTTGTCGAGCTCACCTACAGGACCATTTAAATCGTAAAATGGCTAACCTATTTCTTAAATAGCCTCACCAATATCCTTTTCGAAGTCTTGACCTTATCTCTCAGTTAACCCATTAGAATGAATAAATAAGTTGGGTATGAAATCTATATGAATCTCTATCTACTTTCAGTCAATCTATTTATTAACTAATATCTATTCTATATATTCTATGCGTATTCTATATTTCTATGCGTAATCGTAATTTGCTTACAAAATATTAAAAATATAATTTTCTTTTCCTTTCATAATTTCAGGGTATGGTGAAAAGTGTACATGAAGATGGTGTATGTTGCGAGGTTGATGGGTAAGTAATATTTCTTTTTTTCGGCTGCTATTACATTACCACCGCCAAACAAATTACATAGTTTAACGTTTGTTTGTGTCCTCAAACTGAAAATACATCAATTGTAGCAAATATTGGCAAGAAACCCCAACTGCATCACATTTAAAAAGACATAGATAGCCACATGAAACGCTCGATTTGCACTTGCATATATCTCATAAAGTTCTCATTACTGTTTGCTTGTTAGACACTTGCAAAACATATTTCTACATAAATTCTATTGAGGATAAACAAATAGCAAAAAAATGTACGAACAACAATTTTAAATGTCATTTTAATTATTTATTATTGTCTGTCGGTGCATATGTTTCGTTTAACTCGATTTCACTATTTTTTGCGGTCAGGTTTTTTTTTATATATATAAAAATTGCATTTTAATCATTGAAGAAAATGTTATATCAATTGAAAATGCATTTTTTGATGAATTGAAAAAAAAAAAAAAAACAATTAAAAATAAAATTATTCGAAAGGCGAAATGATTATGGAACGCACATGTTGTAATTTTGGAGAAAATTTTGAAATCTAATTATCTATACTGACAAAAGAATTGCAAGTCATTTTCACAAAAGTTGTGGACCCAGCCATTCTTCCGAAAGAGTCATCCAAACTTTCGGTATAACCCATCGTAATAGCACCGAATTGCAGCATACAAATTTGATATCACTGTAGGCCTAGTACAAAAGCAGCTTTAGACTCGTAGTACTTTGAAGGTCTAATTCAATGTTTATACTTTTTATACCCTCCATAGTATGGTGGTCATTCCGTTTGTAACTCCTCGAAATACTCATGTCAGACCCAACAAAGTATTCTAAGTCAATTTAGCGATGTCCGTCTGTCTTTTGTAATCACACTATCTTCCGAACGAATTGAGATAGAAGGCTAAAATGTTGCACACATTTTTATTTTGCCAGTAGGCAGTAGGTTAAGTTTGTAAATGGGCCATGTCGGTCCACGTTTTCTTATAGCCCCTATATAACAGCACCTCCCGATATTCGCTATTTTCATGATTTTAGCGACATTATTTTCCAGAATTATTTCAAACTTCGTTTTGGAAGATTTTAATGGGTACAACAACCTATGGCAACAAATTTCGTATGCAGGTCCACGTCTTCCTTAGCTCCCATATAACGGCACCTTATATTCGGTTTTTTGATGATTTTAGCGACATTATTCACCGGAATTGTTTCAAATTTGGTATTTTAAGTTCGTAATAAAAACTACAGCCTATGACAGAAAATTGTCTGTGCAGGCCCACGCCGTCATATAGCCCCCATATAACAGTACCTCCCAATTTTCGATATTTTGATAATTTTAGCGTCGTGATTGGCCGGAGCAGTTTCAAATTATGTATTTAGAGTTCTACAGTGGGAACTACAGTCTGTGACAGAAAATTGTCAATTCAGATCCAGCACTTCGTATAGGCAGGCCCAATATATCAGTACCTCCCTATATTCGGTATTTTGACGATTTTAGGTACAATACTCACCGAAATTGTTTGTGATGTCGTATTTGAAGTTCGTAATGGAAGCTACAGCCTGTGACAGAAAATTGTCTATGTAGGTCCACGTCTTCGTATAGCTCCGATATAACGGTACCTCCCTATATACGGTTTTTTGATGATCTTAGCTACATTATTCACCATTTATTTCCAGTTTCAAATTTGAATGTGGTAATGGCTTATGACAAACAAAGCCTATGTAGGTCCACGTCATATAGACCCCAATATATAGCCGTTATATTGGGTATTTTAAGATTTTAACAGAATTTTTAACGGATTTAATTTTTTGAAAATTTCCAAATTCGTTCCAAATGGTATTCAAAGTTCGGCCCCGCCGAACTTACTGCTTTTTAACTTGTTCTGTTTTAAAAATAACTAAAAGCAACAATTTTTTTTTTTGAGTTCAAAGTGGGGTATTTGAAACCATCTTTGAAGGACCTTAAAAGATTCTCTCTTTTTGAAAGGCTTTAAAAGGTTTACCCCACTACAATAACTCCAAGGTCTTTTTTGTACGAAAAAACATTAATTTTTATGGTATCACTGACCCTTTCTAAAATCCCACATTCAATGCACAAATAGCTTTATCTTACACCGATTAAGTTTTGTATGCTGCTATACACATACTCTTCAGAATCGGATTCAGCACAATTTGAGAAGAACAATCATTAATCCTAAAAATATATATCATCGCTTGCCATTTTTGTTTGTTTTCTCTCATTTTTATTCTGTATTGGAAAGGAGTATAAATTCTGATTTCCGCATATTCGTCTTTATTCGGCGTTTCTTGGTTATTTAGATGTGCGTTCTGTGTTGCATGCATGCCCCATAAGTTGTTGCACGACGTTTGTGTGATAATGCATTTTTCACCGCTATTAAAATGTTGTTGATATGTCGAGCAACAAACAGAAAATAAAATTTGGCCCTAAGCCAATTACGGCCTCCTTAGACAGACGACTGGCTAGTAGTGGCACATTAGATTCTCCTCTTGCGTATAGAAATGAAAATTATATTGCAATTGGGAAGAACATACACACACACATTTAGTTGCGATGTTGGGTGAATTCCTTATGCCGATACAGCATGACTGACCAACTGAATAAGAACGACAGCATTATGACGCCAATGTGTGTGACATTAAGGCGAAAGCACGCTTCTTCAAATTGGCGCTGGCTGTGGCAGTACACGAAGAAGAGTGTCCAAACACCTGTCCTCAAGATTTATGTTGTTCACATTAATATTTCGATCATGTTTATGTTCAAATTATATACGACAGCTACATAAATTGTTCAAATTAATTGTATTGAACTTTTTGTGGGCAAATGAAATGATTTTTTAATTGATAGATATTTATTAATGCATAATATTGTATTTGTTCGTTTTGCAGAGTTCCAGAGATTCAAAAATACCCCTTCAATAATGTACGCTTTCCACCCAACGAACCGTCGGAGCCGCCTGTCTATGAGCCCGGCCAAGAGGTGGAGGTTCTTACACGCCCCACAAACAGTGAAGCCTGCGGTTGGTGGTTGGGAGTTCTGAAAATGTTGAACATGGACATTTGTGCTGTTGTATATCCCGGTTTGGAACATCCCTATACCGAGGTAGTGGATTTAGAAAGACTGCGCCCAAAGAATCTCAATCCGCCAATTACATCCAAAACATTTTATCAGCTCACAATACCAGTACCCGAAGAATTGCGTGCGGAGTAGGTTTTTGAAATACTTTGTGGAACAATTTGTATGAAATAATAATGTTGGTTTCCTTTAATTTACAGAGCACAAAAAGAAGACATTCATAAGGAATTTCAACGCAGTATATGCGCTGGCGTTTGCGTTTATAATCCCGAACTGAATGCTCTAGTTGTGATTTCCAAATGGGAAATGACTGAGAAACGCGCCAATTTGCTAAAAGATATGCATTTTCGTAACTTATTACAAAAGGTAAGCAACAAGATTATTTTTTTTTATAATTCAAAATAAGTGTATAATAAATTATATCTAAGGATACATCAAGCAGCCACATTAAATTTATTTACTTAAACTGCCGAACCGATAAAGATGGCATTTGTAGATTCCAGTTTTGTCAATGATTTGAAAAATTTTAATAGTTTTGAAAGAAAATCCAGACATTAGTTCATTGTCTTTTTTCATTGAAAGAGATCATCTTGTTGCCTCTAATTTTGAATAATGGTGACAGGAAGCGGACACAACCTCAGGACTGTATTTCAGTAGTTTTATGACCCCAATTTACCCCTTTATTGTACCATAAAAATGAGTAGTCGGTATATACAGTAATTTGATTGAATGAAATCAAAAATGTCGGAAATAGCATAGAATTTTGATGGCTTTACCCCGAGCTCATTTTTCAACATTTGCCGGATGGAATATTGCGATATGTTCAGCTCACGAGCCATTTTTCGGCCACTGCGATGCAGGTATTAACCAAATATAAAGAGCTGTCACTGGAATAATTTTATCAGATGTCGGACGAGTGACTTAGAAATGACAGCAGCCTGAAGTTGATTGCAGTTTTTTCATCTCACCCTGTAGAGCGGCACTGAGCCGAAAAACAATGTTGTTCAACCTTAGGATGTCTGGCTGCAAAAGAGAGTTTCAGATCAGAGTGTAGCACCCTTGCCCTCCAGATGGTAACATAACGTAAGCGAATGATTGAAAAATCATGACACCGGGTCCTGTTATTGCTGACATATATTTAACGCAGAACACTTCTCTTGTGAGTATTGCCGCTTTCTTTCAAACGAGGAATAGGGAAATATCCGCCACTAAGTAAATGGCACACTCACTGCTCATGGTATGCGGAGATGAGGATACAGCTGACACCTGTTTGTGTGTCACCGTCAAAGTAATCCAAACTATCAGGCGTGTCAGAAAGGACCCTCAAGATCTAGAGAGAGAGAGAGGGATCCAACGTTATAAGACGTAAGACAGAACAAGGAGAATATCAGACACGTCTGAGTAGCATTCATTCTGATGCTATTAAGAACTACAGTCGGCGACATAGTCTAGCAGCTGAAGAACGTCGGCTACTCAGACAGGGTAATTTTGCTCCGACAACGTTTAGAGGATGGTCCAAAACTCTTAATCCTGGATTGAATTGAGCCAAACTTGCAGAAACTTATATATTGTCGAATCAATGCCACAGTATGCGGTCCGAAAATCATAATTAAATAAGGTGCGGGAAAACCGAGAAGCTTACGAAAAAAGTCGCATTGCTCTCTCTTCATACAGAATATGTACCGCAATGGCTCTACCTTTTCTGAGGTGTGGGTACCTCGTGTGGTGGAATTTAATTAAATCTAGGTCGACTATGGCCAAATTAACCAATGTTCAAATAATCGCATTTTTAATGACAACTGGAGTCTCAAAACGCACTTAAATGTGCTAAAGTTCCAGACATTGGACGTTTTGGCTCAGTTTTAAGCGCTGAGCATACGGGAAAGGAAACGATAGCACTTTTCAGGTTTTAGCGTTGCAAAATTCCTGGATATAGCAATAAGTCAGAATATCGTAGGTAAAGGTGTTGAAATTAATGATTACATGCCCACCTTTTTCGACTTAATTTACATTTATGCTAGGAAGCTGTACCGGTGGTGAACCCTCCCTTGTATGAAACGACGCCGGTGCTGGCGTATTCTGCCTTATTCAATTATTAAATTGCTTAATACAATTGAATTGTTACCCCTAAATTCCCTTGATATTTCGGCTGTCTCTTGATTGCGAGGAGACAGACAGAAGAGACAGCCGAAATAGCAAGGGAATTATATATGATGATATTTAAGTGGTTCCAAGTGGCAATAAATCAAGAGCGCTTCTTTATTGCAAGATGGATCTCTTGGAAATATGTGATTGACTCTTTATTTTTCCATTAACGTACCAAAGGTCTCCGAGTGAAGCAGCTGGTGACTCCTTAAAATTGTACACCCTAAAACCGAAACAAATCAAGTATATTGGGCTTTTGTTACTATTTTTGTTTGGCATTAACCAGAGATTCAAACTAATGAACAGACGTTTACTACTTTTTTTTAATTTTTAATTATTTGACATCAATAAGGGACACTTATTTATTTTTTAAAGCTAATTAACGATTTAACGATTTTTAACGCTACTAATTGTTAATGATATAATAAACTTTCATAAATTACATGTATTAATTTAAAACTTCTAATAAACATTTTTTTTTAATTTCTATTTTTTTAGTATATGATTTTAAAACATACTGAAGAGGCTACTCGCCAATTGAAGTCAACTAAACTACTTAACCGTGGGTGAGTTTGTGTGTGTGTGCCATAAATGTTCGTTCATTTCATCGTTAAAACTTCTTTTGAATTTCATTTATAATTCATTACCGTACTCCAACAACATATACTAATAATAAAATGTTAAAAACACGTTCTTGCCTCTTTTTCAGGCATGTAGATGTCTTTCAGGTGCGTGAAGACTTAATGGGTCTGGCGATTGGTTCACATGGTTCCAATATTCAAGCAGCCCGCCTTCTGGAAGGTGTCACCAATATTGAACTTGAAGAGAAGTCGTGTACATTTAAAATAACCGGTGAATCCGAAGAAGCTGTACAGAGAGCCCGAGCCATGCTTGAATATGCCGAGGAATTATTTCATGTACCGCGCGACTTGGTGGGTAAGGTTATTGGCAAAAATGGTCGCATAATACAAGAGATTGTCGACAAAAGTGGAGTATTTCGAATTAAGGTGGTAATTAATCATTTCAATTACATCGGGATCAATTTTAAAAATATTCATTCTTTTATTCTCTCTATATATTCCCGAAAAAATATTGTGTGAACTATCAAAAAACAAAATATAGATTGCTGGTGACGATGAACCGGATACTAATATACAACGTGAGCCGGGTCATGTGCCATTTGTGTTCATTGGTACCGTTGAAAGTATTGTTAATGCCAAAGTATTGCTGGACTATCATTTGGCGCACTTAAAGGTAAGATCATGCAGTGTGGAATTTATGTGATTAATTGTCAATTGTCGTGGGTTTTTAGGAAGTTGAGCAATTACGCCTAGCCAAATTAGAAATCGATCAACAATTACGAGCCATCCAAGAATCTTCTGTGGGTTCTGTGCAAAATTTCCCTTCGTCTCGTCGTTCTGAACGTGGTTATAGCAGTGATATTGAATCAGTTCGTTCCAGTCGAGGAGGTCCGCGTGGTCGTGGACGGGGACGCAGTGGCGGCGGCAATGGTGGTGGCAATCAACGTTACAATCAAGGTTGGTAAAGGATTCCAATTAAAATTGTTTGATATTTATTAATTCTGTTCGATTATGTATAGGTCGTCGTGGTGGTGGCGGCGATGAAGATGATTACAACTCACGTGGCGATAATCGTTACAATGATCGCAACAGCGGAGGTGGTGGCGGCGGATATCGAGGTGGCGATCGTCGTGGCGGCCAGAGACGTAACAATCGTAGCAATGAACAAAATGGCAGGGACCACCAGTACTATAATCAAAACAGTGAAAATGTACAAGAAGTTCGTGAACAGAGTAGTGTTGAAAGAGGTATGTAAATTGGTTTTCCCTGCTGCTTGAACCACAAAAAAATAGTTCGATCTCTACCATCTTAATAACAGATCTTGGAAATATTGAGATGTACCAAGTCTGAATGAAATCGGGTGTTAATTTCACGTTTTATGAGCTTCATGGATATTCCAAACTTTGAACCTTTATGGGAGGTACCAGAAAGAGTGGACCGATAATATTCCATCTTCAAAGCATATATTGTGTTAGTAGAAATAATGGGATGAGGGAAATATGAAGATAACCGGATGTTTATTTCGGATTTTATGATCGCTTCGGTTATTCAAAATGTTAAACCTTTGGGGGGGGGGGGGGGGGTTGTTCCAGAAGGAATGATCCGATTTCTATCATTTTTTTTAACAGCTCTAGTGTTGATAGAAATATTGAGATGTTCGCGTTATATGAGCTTCATGGATATTCAAAATTTGTGGGTGGGTTCCAGATGGAGTGGACCGATGTATTCCATCTTAACACAAGAACTTGGGTTAATAAAATTATTGATATGTGTAATTTGAAGACAATCGGACACTTACATCACATTTTTTAATATTTATAATTATTCAAAATTTTGGCACCTTGTGGTCAGAAGGAGTGGATCGATATTACCCATCTCCGAGCTCGACCAAAGTTTGATAATAATATTACGATGTACCAAGTTTGGACCAAATCGGATAATCCGTTCGAGATTTATTGTGCGCACCAGCCAGACGGACGGACATCGCCAAAACGACCCTGACGCGAATTTGGTCCAAATAGACCTAGGGTCTAAAACCGTTATTTCGATAAGGCACGTTTTGGCCGTATCAACTGATATATACCCTCTCTAGCCATATGGCTGAGGGTATAAGAATGTTCCCATAGTGGTGTCACAATTGCATTGTCTTCATACAGAGGATTTGTGTGAGTTGGCTAAACCGTATTATATTTATCTGTTATTCTCCAAGGGCGAATACAGCCCTATTTTTTCGCACAGAATTTCTATAGTTGTCTGAAAAATACTTTTTTTAATTTCCGATTGAGATAACATCTTTAATTCATATCTGTATATTTTAAATATAATCGATTGTTTTATTTCACCTTTAGCTGAAAGTAATTCTTCATTTGAGGGAAGTTCACGAAGACGCCGAAGACAAAAGAGCAACGTACCCCATAACAGTGAGTATGATGTCATTAACATTATTAGCATAATATGCGTGACATCAGTTTACACCAACGCCATCAATTTAAATGTCAAATTAATGATTTTTAACTCTTTTTTCGTTATTAGCGAACTCTGGCATGTCAAACAACAAATCCCAACAAAATAGTAAACCACCTCAACACAATGTTGATAAAAACAATGCTGGCGGCGGTGGTGGAACAAGTGGAAATGTTGCAGACAGATCAAAACAGAATACCTACAACAACAATAATAATAATAGTAACAACAATAAGGATCCAAATACTGCGGCAGTAAACAAGGGAGGCGACTCGCAAGCGGTAACTGGAAGTGGTAATGGTGGTGGTTATAATAATGCAACACAGCCACAACAGCAACCACCCATGCAACAGCAGCAACAACAGCAGCAGCAGCCTCAGCAACAACAACAGCAGCCACAAAATCAACAGCCAAAGGCAAGACGTAATAGAAATCGCCAACAACAAAATCATGCAAACGATCATCCAAAATCGCAACAATCACAGCCACCACCACAACAACAACAGCAGCAGCAACATACACAGGCTAAAAAGGAAACTCTTGTGAATGGAACTTCCTAATTTACCGTACATTGGTAAACACCATCATCCACACAATAACACCCATCCGAAACCCCTCCCTTGCGACTCTCATATTTCTTTAGACCACTTCTTTAACTGATATGTTGTTATCAAACATTTCTTTATTTTTCGTTCTTATTTTGAATACTTTGATTTAGAAATGTATGATCCTTAAATCCACACCACTCACTCAGAATTAATCAAAAGGATCACAAAATTGTTATCTACTTTTATGGCTTCTTTTGTTCTCAGATTTATTTCACTGCACCATCTCCCTTCCTCCCTCCTCCTTCCTTCCCTCCTAACCATTAAAACACATTTTCATACGAACTCCTTTCACGAGTTTTTGCAACAATTATTTTTTATTTTGTTTCAAAAACCAAACAAAACAACAAATATTCACAGAACTTTATAACATTAGAAATGAAAAAAAAAAAGAATTTTATAAAACAAAAAAAATAAACACATTATATAATACAAATGCAAATTTAATTTTATGAAACATAAAAAAAAAAAATAAAACAAAATCTATATAATAACGGTACATATTATTTAATAATAAAAAAACACCCCAACAACAAACTATATGTAACTTATATAAAATAATAATAATAAAAACAGCAAGAAAATTAAATAAACATAAAATAACAACAACATACAAGTAATTATATTTATAAATCTTAAAAAAAAAAAACAGAAAAAGAAGAAAACAACAAATTTAATTTAATAAAACAAACAAATGATAAAGGGAAAAAATATAAATGCAACTGAAATAACAACAACAAATATTAATTTAATTGATAAATTGATTTAAAATAAAATACAAATGAAACCGAAATTTTACTAGAAATATAAATTAATTACAAAACCAACAGCACTTAATTTGATAAACAGAAACCAGAATTAAATAAAAAAACAGTAAATTAAACAAAAGAAAACAGAACAATGTTAACTAACAACATTACTAATTTTTAAGTTTTATGTAAAAATATATATAAACTTTCATCTTTTTTATTTTTATTTTCATTTTTTATTTTTCATTTTCAAAAAGGAAAGCATGAAATAAAACAAAAACAAAATTCCTTAAAGGATTTTTCTAATTAAAAAAAAAAAAACGAAAAACGAAACTCAATATTGTTGTTTTTTATTTATGGGCGCAAATGGGACTGAATTCTATTAAATACATGTGATTGTCCATTTCGACTATTTTCAACATCGCATAAATCTTACGAATTTTTTGCTCGGCATTTACATACTTTCAGACAAAAGTGGACATTTTGTACTCTGAAGATAATTGGAGAATCCAAACATCAGCAAAAAAAAATTTTTCCAATATCCGGGCGCGTTTGTATTCCCATTGAAAGCGTTTTCCAGGGATATCATTCCTTCAATCATTTATAATTGGAAAGAAATCGGATGATGTTAGTAAAACCATTGCAGAATGAGCCTACATCCAACTTTTCTGACCAAAACTAAATAGTAAATTTTAGAATTTCAACTCCATCCCAGTAACAAATTTAGTAACATTCAGTACGTGTATTCAGAACTATCCTCAACTCTCCATTCTAGACAACACATACCAAATTTTGTAAGATTTAGAACTTTTCCTATAATTTTAGTAAACATTTGAAAACCACTTCTTTATCTCAATCCCTCTCAACCACAGACATTAACAGTGACATGCTTATTAAACTTCATGATTTCAGTTCTAACTTCTCCCATTACCAAATTTAGTTCTATTTAGCACTTTTCGAACAACTATAGGATATATAGTACGTATTTCCGCCCAATTCCTTCACACAACACCAAATTAAGTACAATTTAGTACGTTTTGAGCAATTATAGTACATATTTCCACAACCAACTCCATATCTCAATCTCAGATACCAAAAGAGACCTCAATATCAATTTCCTGGCTTCCAGTTCTATCCCTTCACCCAACTTTGTACCAATTAGTACCCTACGTACAATTATATTACACATTTCCAAAACCGATTCCATATTTCAATCTCAGATACTAACAGAGACCTCTATATCAAATTTTAAGATCCCTTTACCCAGTATCAAATTTAGTACTCATTTTCGCATTTTCAAAATAATAATTTTCGCATTTTCAAATATCCCAACCACAGATACCAACAGTGAAATTGATATTAAATTTCAGGATTTCATCTTCAATTTCCCCTGTTGCCAAATTTAGTACCATTTAGTACAATTTTATTACATATGTTCCAAACCAACTCCATATCTCAACATAAGATACCAACAGAGAAACATCAATATCAAATTTCGGGACTCCAGCTCTATAGATTCCCTGAATACAAAATTTAGTACCATTTAGTACTTTTTGTACAAATATAGGACGTCAACAGTGACATCCATTTCAAATTTCCTTCACCGAATACCAAATTTAGTACAATTCAGTACTCATATCTCAATCCCAAATACCAACACAGACCTCAATATCAAATTTCGAGTTTCCAGTTCTATCCCTTCACCGAATACCAAATTTAGTACCATTTAGTATTTTCGAATTCAATTTTTTTGTTTGAAAATTTCAGCTTCATCCGTTCACACTTAAGTAAACTGTTCCAAATTTAGTACAATTTTGTACAGTTCCCTCACTTACTAGACATTTCCAAAACCACCTCCATGCATTAAACTTACAGCCAGTTCCACGATATCGAAAGAACACGTTCGCACAACTTTTACACGACAAACAGCTGATTTCCGTTCCACTAAAATCTATCAGAACGAAAATTTGCACGAAAATCAAAGCGAACGAAAACGTAAGCATTTCAGTGTAATTTTGCGTTCCACTATCTTTTTTCTTTCGTACGCATGCGAACACAAATGTCAAAATCAGTCACTTGTGTGTTTGCTGTCGTATGATAACAATTAAGGAAAATTGTTTTAACATAAACATTGCTTGATTGAAAATGGAAACAAAAATGTAAGTAAAAATAATAAATGCAATTTAATCTGTGAACAACAAATATATATATTTTTTATTTTCTCAATTCCAGCACGAAAAAATCATCAACTACACAGCTGCGGGCACTAGTTGAGTAAATGGAGGAGAATCCTGTGTTCGCCAGAGGAATGCCAATTTTTGGAAGCAGCAGAAGAAGTTTTAAATCGGGGCGGATTTGGGTAGTTCTGCAACCAGGCACCCACTTCTCTTCCTTCATATCCAAAAGAGCCCGAAAACTTCCTTCGACACACGAAAGTTGGCCACAAACCTAGAAAAAATCATTTTTTATTATTTCAAAAATGTAAAAATACAATCATACTTACTGGTTGTTAGGTACTTCAAATAAATTCGAAGCATCTCTTAAATGCCTCCGTGGCACATTTCGAACCTCCCCCTCATTATCCATAAAAAATAGGGCTACAGAAATATTCATTTTTTTATTTTTTAAGAACACAAATAATTTGAACACAATCACTAGAAATTTTATTTTGTTTGTTTATTTACAATTTGTTTGTTTACAACTGAGATGTCAGTTGAGACAGAGCCACTGCTGCTTTTTCGCGTTTAAATTAGACATTTGACGCTTTTTTTGCTTTATTTTGCGATTAATTTTTCCAAAAAAATATTTAGCAACACTGAATCACGTAAGGCTATGCGAAAGAAAGAACGAAAGTTAGTGGAACGCATTCTTATACGAAAGTGAGTGAGTAGCCTTCGTTCGCACAAATTTTCTTTCGAGATCGTGGAACAGGCTGTTACTTTCCAACCGAAGAAAAAAAAACAAAGTTTCACATTTTTAGCTTCACCTGTTCTCATAATACCAAATGGTATCAATTTAGAGGTTTAGTAACATTTTAGAACTTTGCGTAACCTTAAATTTCGAATTTACTAGAATCCTTTCGCACATTAATTTAGCATCCATCTGTAACCCTCATTTCAAATTTCAGAATTCCAGCTCCAACGGTTCCACACAATTTCAATTTGTACCAAATTTAGTATCTACGATAACTACGGATTTACAAAACTTCCTACATAACTACAATTCTACACTCCAAAAGTATTTTTTATTCTAAATCTCAGGGTACATACAGTCCAACTTTCAGGATTCTAATTCTACCAGTTCACCCAAAATTTAAATTGTATCAAATTTAGTACCATTGAGTGCACATAAATACGAATTTCCAAAAACCCTTTTTTACATCTATCATACACCCCATCAGTGACCCTCATTCCGAATTAAAGAGTTTTAGCTCTACTGCTTCCCCAAATACAAAGTTTACCGTATTTAGTAAATGTTCGAAATAAGATTCCTTGGAAGCAATGCATTTTGGGCTATCCAAAATTGGGAAGAATATTTTTGTACTCAATCGAATCATTAAAGGTGTCCTACTGGTCCCTTTCTTCAAAAACTACATTAAATCAAAATACTCTACAAAAATATTCATTATAAAATTTTACTTTTTCACTGCATCTGAGTTTATCCCAAATAGTTCCACAAATGTTCATTTTTGGGGATGACGTCAAAGACAAAAATATTCTATTTAAAATTCTACTAAGTCTCCAAAGATAATAATATATTTTTATACCCTCAGCCATATGGCTACAGAGGGTATATATCATTTGATAGGTCAAAATGTGCCTCATCGAAATAACTGTTTTAGACGCTAGGTCTCTTTGGACCAAATTCGTTTCAGGATATTTGGAGTCGATCTAGCGATGTCCGTCTTGAAGGGAGTATCCGTTTTGGTCCAAATTTGTAACATCGTAACATTATTAGCAAACTTAGATTGAGTATCGATCTGGTATCTCCCTCACAAAAGATCAAAATTTGCAAAAAAAAATAAGAAAAGAAAAAAGATAATCAGATTTTGCTCCAAATTTGCAAATTCTAATGTTGCATCAGGTCAGGTGCGAAAAAGGATTATATCGATCCACTCCTTCTGGTACCCACAAAGGGTCAACATTTTCAATAATTATAACTCTTATAAAAAGTGATTTAAGTTTCCGATTGTCTTCAAATTACATACATCACAATATTTTTTTTAATCCATGGTCTGGTGTGTAAATGGAATATATCGTTCGACTCCTTCTGGTACCTCCCCACAAAGGGTCAAAATTTTGACAATCCATGAAGCTCACAAAACGCGAAATTGACATCCGACTCCATTCGGACTTGGCACATCTCAATATATTTATTTACACAAGATCGGTTAAAAACATGTTATAGATCGGACCATTCCTTTTGGTACCTCCCGCACAAAGAGTCAAAGTTTTGAATATCCAAAACGATTATAAAATCCGGAATAAGCATCCGGTTCTCTTCATATTTCACACATCCCATTATTTCTACTAACACGAGTCTGCTGTGAATATAGGATATATCGGTCCTCTCCTTTCGGTACCTCCACTAAAATAGGTCAAAATTTTGAATAACCATGAAGCTCATAAAACGCGAAATTAACGATTTCATTCAGAATTGGCACATCACAAAATTTCCATCAACCCAAGATCTGTTAAAAAGATGATAGAGATCGGACCATTTCTACTGGTACCTTTCCCACATAGGGTTCAAGAATTGAAAACAAAACGCTCAAAAAAAGCGAAATAAGCATCCAACTCTCTATTTAAATTTCACACACACCAACATTTTTACTAACACATGATCTGTTGTGAAGATAATATCTGCTGACCCCTTCTGGGATCTGACCCACAAATTTTCAATACTTTTATCTGTCAAAACTTGTGAAGCAAGTCAGCGATTTTTTATAATTAAATATTTCACTCAACCAGAAACCAGGGATGGATATGGAATTTATGATTTCGCATAAAATTGGATATAAATGTTAGATTTTCTTGTAATTTTGCCCATACCAATATTTTTATCTGTTTTAGATGAAGTATAAAAGTGGAATACTTCGGTCGACTATAGCTATACCTCATTTTAACATTTTCTAAAAATTATCACATGTCTCATATAAATTGAAGGAGGTAACCAAAATAGTCCAAACCTAACATATCCATTCCTTATTTTTTACTGTCATGGATTTGGGTTCATATATCAATTTGCATAGAACTCCATGGTGTTATTGTTAATTAATTTATTTATTAATTAAGTTAATTTATTAACTTCGTTTATTTTTAAAACAGAAGAGAAGAACATAGACCGTAACTTTGTATTTTCAATGACTTACCAGTGGATTTTAATTTATTATTCACTACTTTTCATTGATTTACCCGTTGAGTTTGCATTTTGTTGTTACAGCTTATCGCGGCGGCAGTGAAGATAGTGGCTGTGATATTAATTCAAGTTACACAACCAGCTAACCACACTGCCAAAGCGCTTAGCCGATTATAAAAAATAATTAACACTTTTCGATTGTTTTTTTTTTTAATACAAATTTCGTTAACTTCAACTTTGTTGCATTTTAAAACACAAAAATAAAGCAAAAATAAGGCTGGGATCTTCTTGCATTTGTCTACTTACCTCTATTTTGTTTTATGAGACGCCATCTAACGTTGGATTTAGTTGTGAAAGTAACATTTATCGTTGCTGTTATGTTATTAATCATCAATGAATGCCCCTCTTTTATGTTTATGCTGAAAAATATGCTACATTTAATGTAGGCTTAGGATGGAACATAAACACAGGGTGCTACGTTTTGTTGATATGGCAACATGGCAGCCAGCATAACCTTCAACTGAAAAAAAAAATGGATGCAAAACAGAACAGAATAATGTAAAATAAATGCTGTTATGTTTAGCTATGCATGTACATACGTTACTATGTTTCTTTCTCTATTCCCTTCCATGGCATGAGGAAAAATAAGGGTCAAGGTTGGCCTCATTTCTCGGCGAGATGACATTGATGTTAAGGACTTCGAAATTAGTTCAAGGTCATTGTGTATATCTCGAATGAGTCGGTTTGCGTTAACTGGGTTACTGTTTTGCAGTACAAAAAAGAGTAGAATGTATATTTTACCTAAATCTTAAATGTTTTTGCATCGTTAACAAAGACTAGCTCTAAATTTAAAATCTTTTGGGTCATATTGAAGTAACATCTAATAGTACATTTATAGTTTTACGGATTTAGTAAGCCCAACGGATTTAAATTACCAATTCTATGTAAGTCAAATAAATTTTCTTGAAGGAAGTTAGCCCGCAATTATCTCTAATGTAAACATACTATAAGATTGTAGGTAGGTTTCCTAAAAAACTCCCAATAGGAATTTCGAGTAGAAAATTTTTAATATTCAATTCAAATTTCGATATTAGTTGGGAAGACTTGAAGTTATTCGGCCCTTATTCAGTAATAATTTAATGTAACGAAAAAATTAAATTGTTTTTCCTACAAAATCTCACCTTTTTTGAAAATGAAGTGCATGTTATAAAAATTATGTCTATTCCCTATCCTGCAGAAAACCAGAATCTTTCATTTAATCCATGTTAAAGCCCAATATCGGTAAAGAAGTTTTGGAACTAGAAGATCATTTGTGTTTCTCCGTGTCATTTACTGCATTGGTTTTAGATTTAATTTACTTAATTTAATTTATCTGATATCTAGCACGTATATGACCAATAAGTTGGTATACTATTTTTTGCAATTGTTGACCCTTTGTTGGAAGGGATCACAAAACTTGAAAATATATAGCCTAATTGGACAAACATACTTATGGCGAGCAAAAAGTGTACCAAATCGGGGAGAACCATAAGTTTTTATGGGATATGGTAAATGTTGATCCCTTATGGGACCAACACTATATTTTGTATGCCATTTTTGTATATTCAAAATTCTGATCTTCAAACACGTTCTGGACTTGGACAAATTCATGAGATCTCTAAACTTTGGACCAACTTGGACCTCAATTTTACGATTTGATGTTTTTTTTTAATTAATATAGAATCCAAAATTTTTATTTAGAGATCTAAATTACTTAAACCTGGATCTATAATCAAAAGATCTGAGCAAAAGGAATCTAGATTCGGGTGTCCTGAATAATACCCTGTGGATATTAAAAGGCCTGTAAATTTGTACCTCCAAAATATTCAAATATCAAGTCTCTAAATACACATAAGCTAAAGATCTAAGCTTGAAATCTAAGGTTGTTTAATATTCTTTTTTAAAGCAATAAAGGACTAATAAAAAATCAATTCCTTTCTAATATTCCAATAATCTACTACATTTTCAATTTTTCTATCCTTTCTCAAATCCATTGTGGAACCCAACATTTTTCTCTAAGATTATTCTTTACCAGAAAAATTAGTGAATTTAGCCTGACTTCTAACATATGATTGACTTCTACATTAGCTTTATTCCAACAAAAGTAAAAAAAACTCGCCTGTATTCAGATTTGTTCGTTTACACTCA